GAACACGAGGTCTAGACATCTCAAAAGGGGAACCTGGTTAATATGCAGAACGACAAGAGTCGACACGCTGCCCTTTAGGAAGTAGGGAGTATTATTCGTCGCCGTCTGCTCGACACACACAATGCGCATTTTTAATTAAAACCAACAACCAGCTAACAAACAAACAGACGCCCAAAAAACATGCCTTCATGATCAACTCTTTGGCGTCTATTACAAAACACAATAGACGGCCGCAAATAAAAAATTAGACATTTAATTTATCACTTGGTCGCCAAGAGAGAGAGAGAGAGAGAGACACATGTACATAGAAATAGAGAAAGACAGAGAGAGAGAGAGAGGAGAAAGAGGGGAAGAAGGAAAAGTCATAGAATATTTGGGCAACCTTATGCCGAAGACGTTGTCTGGCCTCAACATAAAATATTTAAAATTAAGCCGACTAGCAGTGGCTGCTTGACCTTAAGTCATTGAGGGCGTGGTGGCGTCACACACACACACACACACACACCATACCGAAGACAAACGGACAGACGCACAAACAGATAAACAGACAAAACAGCCATTTCCTTACACAATATTCGAATGGGTGCTTCGACGGCCGTCCATGTTGTAAAGTATTCGAAGCCAAAATACAAAGAATTTGTTTTTATGATCTGAACCACGCAACAAACTCGAAATAGTCCAAATATTTGGCAAACATCACAAGCGTGTGGAAAACTTTAAATGAACAAAAATGTTCTGCTCTTTTTCTTTTCCTCGTTGTCATTGTGCTTGGGTTTTTCTAAAATTATTACTTTTAACTTATTCCACCGGCTGCATGATTTGACATCAAACGCTATTTTCGGCAATTTCCCAAACTATACGAGTAGACGTATATTCGTACATACATATTCGCATATGTATGTACGAGAAACTGCTTATTTAAAAGCGAATCTGTGAAGAAACAGCATCAGCATCAACATTTTCCTAAGGTTAAGTGCGCCATTATCTACGCTCAAAGCATTGGGGAAAATGCTTTTGGCAGCGCAGCCAAATATACGGGGACTGGTGGGGTCAGTTTTTCCCATCTCTTCGCTTCTCTTGACAAATTTCACTATTTATTTCGAATAGTTGCCAGTTGAAAAACATATTGGACAAATAAATAAACGAGGCAACGAAAATAACAATTACTGATGCTGTCCTCATATCAAAAATATCATTTTGTACGAATCGCTTCAACGGATATTTTCATATTATTGATAATTTGGGTGCAAAACATATTCCACGCTATCTCTTCATTTGTTTTCATTTACAGATGATTGTAAGAAACTCAAGATAATGTTATGGTAAGTAAAATTAATTAGTATTACTAATCATAAGTATATGATTTTTTGACGACGTGTTCTTTTCAATATTTTGCTAATACCATTTCCTTTTTATTATTTTTATTTTTATTAAATATCGGACTTATTTCTAAATTTGATCGCGCATGAACACCAACAATTCAAAGAAGAGAATGAAAAAGACACGCAAACTTAGAATTTATTTCTAAAATCCTAAATATGGTAATGTTTGTGTTTTATCATGAACGTGTTCCTGAAATTTGTTACAGGTGCTAGCCAAAAATTTATTAGTGCAGAATGCCTTTTCTTTATTTAATTGACTACCACAGACGCTTAAATCCTTCACTAGTTGATTTTCAATAGGCATAGTTCAACCGACAACCAAAATCCCAAGAATGGCTTATAGGCTTTTTTGTGACATTTTCTACCTTTCCATGCATTAATGCTTTTCGAAAACATAACTTGCCCTAATGTGTAAAAACAAACAAACAAACAGGATTTCTTCCTACTTATAAATACTCCTGAATAGTTTCAAATTTTTTCAAATACTTTTCACATGCACAAATTTTCCATAAGCGATCGAGAGAGCGCTAAAGGGAGAGGCTGAGAGAACACATGTATAGTATTTGGGCCGGGCCCGAAAATGTGGCTCAAAAGGTAAACGCGCTAAAACTGTAAAACCGGTTTCGACTCGCCGTTGTTGACGTTTTTCATCGAGTCATTTTCAAGCCAAGCGGTAGCACGGGTAACAACACACAGCCAACACGCACACACACACTCATACACACACACACACACACACACAGAAGTGTCAACATTTACACATGACAACAACAAACAGCTGCGGCTGGAAAAACAAGGTGGTTATAACAGACCCATAGAGTTATGCGATCTTTAAGCTTTTTTTTGGACGGACGCCACATATGAATGCCACACTTGATGCGTGCAACACACAGCCACATCACTTCTAATGAGCTGCACATTAGCGTGCTTTAATTAGTTTAGTCAGTCGAGTTAATCTTGGTCGTTGTTGTCGCGTGCCGCTGCCAAAAGCCACCAAGCCATAAATCTGTGAGCAGCTACTTGGGAGTTGGGAGCTAGAGGGAGAACTTTAGAGCTCAGCAATTGTAAAAATAAAAAGTATTTGCCCAACACCCAACTTGGCTTTGTCTTGTTAACCTGATTTGTTTGTGGCTTATCGTTTAAACAAAGCCTTTTAATCGCTGTGTAGATTAATTTCTTTATTTTTTTCATTTTATTTTTATAGCACGCACTGCTGCTCTCCTTTGTGTCACGTTTTATTTCTGTTAGACTCTGTTTGTTTCGTTTGTGAATTCGTTAATTCATTTGAGTGCGCCTCTGGGCTCACTTTGTAATTGGCTACTGGCTAACTAATTATTTTAATTGCTACTCAAGCACAACATGCAAAAACCGCCAAAAACAAAAAAAAAAGTTAAAAAGGGAATTGCCTGGCGTGCGAAACTCGCTAGAATTTCAAACGTAGGGCTTGGATCGAGGCGTTTCAAACTGCGGTCATTTGCTTGATTGCTTCAATAATAAAAGGCTAGAACTAACATTACTAGGTACTTTTTGTTTTTCCTTCTGTTCATGTGTGTAGATATGTACATACAAGTCTTGTCAATAGATCTACATCTCAGCTATGTAGCACAAAAATGTCTCTGTCCACAAAATTACGTCAATCTCCGCCTATTTGTTTGTCAATTTAAATAAGCTACCTCACTGCTTGGCTGACTGACTGCCTCTCTGCCTGCTTGCTTGTCTATGAAAACAAAAACCAAAAACAACAACAAATTACAGCACAAAACAACAGCAACAAATAATAAACTCTGGCAATTTTTTACGGTCAGCAGAGAAAATTACAAACGGACGGTTCGTTGAACCCAACAAGATAGCCGGTGTAGTAACCAGCAACGATTAACTGCTCTTATGTAGTTGTACCAACTTATACCTTAGCCTTCATAAGTATTCGAACCTAATTAACAATAAGTGGTAAGTGTTTATTCAGTTATGACGAGAGATGCGAAAAAGCTACTAAAAGGATCTCAAGGCCTTTCTAGCGTTGAAAAACAAATTAAATAGGTAACTCAAAACTGATTTGTCAAGTACTTGAAATTAATAAAAGTACAAATTCTAACTACTTTTAAGATAAAGAACCCGTATTTTGCACCGTTCGTTTATTTTATTTATTAAAATATTTTCTTTATTTTAATATTTAAGTAAAAAATATACCCTGCAAATTATTTTTAATACTATTTATCTACTGCTTTCAACTATTTTGAATAAGTGATCTTTCTCCTATTTCAATTGAGAAATATACAATTTTAATTAGTATTTACAAAATTTAATATAATTTTATTTCCGCCTTAACCCTAAAAATTCACAACGACCGCTATATTTGACAAATTCCCATTTATTTTTATAAATGATTTGAAAATTAATGTAATTGGTGTTCCAATTTGGTTGATCTTAGAATCTGATTGCAATGAAAAAATGTATGCGGCGTTTATTTCAATATTTTAGGAACTAGTGTAACGTGATCTGATCAAACGTCGATAGAATTATGGAATATTTTGAAATTTTTAAAATAAAATTGAATTTCCGTGAATTCATATGAATTAAAAGAAGGAGAACTGATAGTCAACCATTTTTTCTTGGGCTTTTCAAAATACTTATAATATCTAATGTGAAGATAAGTTAATGTCCGTGTCTTACATCTTGGACAATCTGCGGGTCTAGCCATGACGACTTACAAATACTTAAACAAACAAGTCTCCCATGCCAGTACCAATTTTTAAAATGCCTCACATTAAAAGTCACACGCTGCGTAGCCATATTATACTCGTATCCCCCTCCTCCGCCTTGGTGAAAACAAAGCAAGAACACGAAAAACCAAAAATGTTCCCAAAGCTGATTAATGTTGCCCAACTCAAATTTCAACCATTTTCATTCATATGCAAAATTAGACTTCGCTGTCATTTTCAAGCCAGCGCCATTTCGAGCCGGCCAGCTGAATAATATTGGTGAACATTTTGTTGAGCTCATCAGAAAGAGTGCTGGTATTTTGTTGTTGCTGTTGTTTGTTGTCGTGTCGCTGCCAAAAAGGTGTAGACAAATAAAAATACAATAACAGAAAAACACTGCACGAAAGTTATATAACAATTATGGCTTGCTAATTAATAACAAATCAGGCAAGCAAACAGGTTTTCAGTTTTTCATTTTGGCGCGTTGTTCTATGACGGCAGAATTTATAAATAAACAGCAATTAAATTACATTATAAGTATATTGCAAATGCTGTTGAAACATTGCAGTATAAGCCAATCATTTTCCCCTTAAAGTGTTCTATTTAAAACTACATTTTTCAAATAAAAACAACTCTTGCTCGATTCTTTGAAAATGTAAAATATAATTCACACAATAATTCGACACAAGCTTGGCATAATTTTTAAAGTAAATATGTAAATGTATATATCAATATGTATGAGGCAATGTTTATTTATATTCCCATGCTACTATTTTGCATTAAACGCTCAATAAATTAATGTCGAGCTGCATAAATTATCAACAAATTGTTTTCACAAGCAAGACAAAAATATTAAAAGAATCAAACACAGACACACATGGACACACACAAATAGGTAGCAAGAGACGAAAACACGCACCTACTTAGTTTTTGAAATGCACTTGAAATTGAATATATCGGCCAAGAAGTTCTTAACCGTTTCGCAGTGTCAATACAATTCAACTTTGAATCGGTGGAAAACGCGCGCTGCTTTAACCGCCAGCACCGCACACGAAAGCGTTCGAAACGAAACTGGCTAAGCGAGTTGAAAGCGACGCGCGTTTATGCTTACGCCGAGCCCGAGCACTGCCCGTGGAAGAGAGCGAGAAAGAGAGCGCTTTTGTTCTTGTGTTTCCCAGGCGGGCAGCTATGCAGGCGAGCGCGCGCAGTTGAGGCTTAAATGCAGGCGATAAGAGATTTTATACAAGTATGCACACGCAAGGTACGGGCGATGAGGGCGCGTGTGGCTGACAAATGACCCTAGGTGCGTGGGCAGGTGCGTGTTTGTGTTTAGACCAAGAATGCGCAGCAAATATCAGAGGCACACCCTTGGCTAGGACGTGTAGTCTAATTTAGGGGCAAGTAAACTTGAAATTAAAATCGAAATGCTTGTGAACTATATCAGTACGGAGATTATAAGTACAAAACCGATTTATTAAAATAAACAATTGACAACTGATAAGCTAACAATAACGCTTTAGAACACCGCTACAATAATAGAAACACTCAGACGTATAAAGACAAATCAGACATTAATTGTAATCTAATATACATATATTTGACAGTTTAACCCCGAAATAACATTATCTTTTAAAATTCGCCTTGATATACTCTCATTGAAAAAGGAAAATCTTGCAAAATTTCCATGAAAATATTGTGCCAGACCTATTAAATGTTCGTTTTAAAGATAACTCTAAAGGCCTCTCACGTTGTATGTATTATATATGTATGTATATTATCAACTTAGTAGTTAAGGCACTTGACAAGCTCACTAGCGTTGTAGAGCTTATTCCGCGAAAGATTCCCGATACGTTAAGAGTTTGGTATGAATTGTGAACATCTAACTGATATCAACTGCTATTAACTTGAATCGCCGTATGTGTGCCTGCGTCATTAAACAGCTGCGAATGTATTTTGTATTGTGTCAGGATTGACGTCAACTATAGGAAGGAGTTATCTGACAGCTCGTTGCTGGCCTCCATTTTTAGAAAATTTTTGAGAGCTTCTTCGAAATTCCAATTCGCATCTTCCAGACAACGGGTGCACCACACCTGCAATAGGCCTGTGATTTCCTGAAACAGTAACAGCTTGTGTTCCTTCACATCGACGGATTCTTCCTCATCCTTCACATCCATTCCATTATTAAAGTAAGCATCCAGCTTAAAAGACGTTTTAGTTTGCTTTGTCGAGGCTTTCATAATGTTTAAGCGCTCATTTGTGATTTTATAGCGTCTGGCTCTGCCGCATATGCCCTGTAAGATAATGTTTTAAAATTATATTAAAATGCAAGATAAGAGAAAGTGCTACAGTCGACCTAGCCCGACAGTGAAATATCCTGTTCCCAAACAAACTTCTATATGCAACCATAGCAGAAGCAAAGAGATGAAAATTTGGGGGCGTATTACTAGAGTGAAATTATTTCGCTGAGAACTCTTGGAAGGGATGAAATAAAAATAAAAACAAAACTCGTGTTGCCTGGGGATATGAAGAGTCTACATACCAAGTATGACCAATCTGGACTGAGCCATTTCCGAAATCCAGGAATTCATTCAAGGAAATAGATGAACGGACGAATAGACGGACATAGCTCTGTCGTCATGCTGATTAGGAATGTATATACTTTTACACAAACTAAATTTACACTTTTTACCCTTCATTTACAGGGTATAATAATATTAAAAACAAAAAACGAATGCTAGACTTGAGCAGGCTCTTAAATACCCTGTACCCACTTCCAAAAATAGGAAAACATTTTTATTTTTAAAATTTTAAAAATAAATGTAAGAAAATTTTAATTAACTAAATAACTATTATTCAGTACATACGTATGTACATAAGTGGAAACATATGTGTGAAGTACAGAATTAAGTTAACAAACAGCAACAACAACGAAAACAGCTGCGGCAAAGATTACATTTATGGCTATAACATTCTTTATAATTGACCTATCATAACGAAACGGATACGTAACCACAAACTTGGTGCAATTACTAAATTTGAGTTCGAAATTCAAAGAATTACGGGAGTTATGAAAAATCGCTTAAAATCGGACTTAGCAGAATCTGGATACCAAGGTTATTCTGGCTCTTATACTTTCCGAGATCCCTGCGTTCATACGGACGGACAGACGGACATGGCTATATTAACTCGGCTTGCCGCCCTGATCAAGAATATATATACTATATATACCACGCTTCCTTCTATGTGTTCCATACATTCGCCCAAACTAGTATCCCTTTACCCCATTATATTTTATTTAAGCAACATTTTCGTTCCTATGCCTTTCGGTTTCCATTTAACTTAATCATAGCTCACTACCTGTGATACGTAGACTTTTTTAATACCGGCACCAAATATTGAAGATAATTTGACACAAATGTAGTGAATCAATCAATAAATTTAAAAATGGAAAAACATGCAATGGACTTACTTGGCCCTCAGCATCCACCTTCAGTATGAATTGCCGACTGAAAGCCAGGATTAGAGGCTCCCCTTGCAGTACATTTGCCTTTTCTGGCTCAGCGTCACGTAGCACGCCTGTCACATATATTACAGCCGACTTTGAATCGTAGTGCATTACATCCGTTTGCAAGGACGAAAAGTCGTGTTTAACATTAGGAAGTTTCATATATATGTGCAAAATGTTCGCCCAGCCAAAATGGATGGCAGACCCAGGCTGCATTTTTTCACAGCGAGCGTACGCAGTGAATTTGTTAATAGCTGCTTTATGCGTACTCGACGTGTCCCTATTTGCTGTACAAGTGCAGGTCATGGTGAAGATGGTATGATCCGTATAGAATTTCTCTAGATTATACCTATCATCCAGGTTTTCAAATTCCCGAAGGAATGTATTAAGAAAGAGCAGGCCCACCAATTCATATGCAGCGGTATTGACCAGGAAATTTTTTTGAGGGGCCAGGCCAGGTTTGCTGCCTAGATCGACGCCATCCAATTTGGTTAAATGAGGAAAATGTTCCTTCACGGCTGCGATGTACTCACAAGGAAGGCGGTATGCGTTACAAAGCCGATTTCCATGTAAACGCAAAGACTTGAGATGCAACACTCTCAGCGACTTAATATCGGTTAGATCGGATATCCAATTATGTCCCAGATCCAGAGCCTGCAGGCTAATTAATAACGACAGAGGGCGTGCACTTAAAAGGCTGACAATCTTGTTGTTGCACATACGTATTTCGGAACAATTACTGATAAACTTGCGAGACGCAATTGTCAAAATATTATGCGTAATTTTAGGGGAGCTCATGTGAACGACGACATTTTTTAAGGTATCATCCTGTTGGAATTGCTCTAAATCGAGCACTCTGTTCATGGCATTGTAGCGCTTTTGAAGTGCTTCTTCTATGGTCGAGTTGACATCCAGGTGTCTCTTTTTGAATGTGCACACATTCATCAGAAGATAAAACGAAATGGAGCGATCATAAATGATCTGCGGCATATCATCCGTATCCACCAGATTCGGTATTTTCAGCTCCAAACTGCAGTTATTCACCAAATTGTGTATTTGATCGAAACAGTTACGCACAAGAAAGCGATGTTCCTGTTGCTGGTACTGCAAGGCGAAGAGTGTTTTAGTTGGATTTCGGCGCACATCCTTCATACTTACTATATAGTAGCAGGGATAGAACTCGCTGAGCGTTTGGTCTACAGAAATGAACAGGTAATCAAATATCACATCTTTGCTGAACTCTCTCTTTGGATCGGGAATCTAAAAAGCAAATATATTATGAGCAAGCTGTGAGCAAAGCGTCATTGCCTTATCACCATAAATGCATGCCAATCAGGGCTGTCTTTAAATAGCTGGAGAGCGGGCATATTTGTTTTGTCGATGCGCTCCCCATTGGTTTGTACATTTATTTCGTGGATAAATGGGTTATAGTTCTTATACATTTTGTCAATCGGGTCGCCGTCCTGCAAGAAAATTCAAGTAATGCCTGATATCTGTTCTGTAGTATGAGCATGTAAGCAGAATTTACTTACCACCAACTTGAAATTATACATCAAAGGTTTCAAGCAGTCGGGACTTTTGCCAATCTCTTTCATTATCGGGTTATTTTCCAGCTTCAACTCGTTAGCCTTGATGTTTGCCAAGTCCTCGCACAATTGCTTTACAGACCTTATCTGAGAGATACACATAAGTAACAACAGTTTTTAGATTTGTTAGTAATTTACAACGCCAACCAAATACAAGTATTTATAAAACGAATCATCAACTCGAGCCAATTTAGTTTCTTGAGTTTGGCGACCCAATCAAAGGAACCGAAGAGAGCATGATAGTGGACTTTAAACACAACGCAGGATGCCATTCAACACATCGGCACATACACAGTACAATAAGGATGCTATGGCTCTGTGCTATTGATGCCAATGAAATAAAATAAACTTGTATTGCCTAGGGACTACGAACGTGTATATATCAAGTTCGGTTGACGTCCATTTAGCTGTTTCCGAAATCCAGGCGTTCGTACAGACGGACGGACAGACGCACGAGCATGTCTAGATCGATTCGTCTCGTCATACTGATTAAGAATATATTCTTTATGCGGTAGGAAATGTTTCCTTCAGCCTGTACATACTTTGCACAAACCTAATACAACCTTCTAATCGTACGAGTGTAGGATATAAAAACTGCAAAGGCTTACCCGATTATTACTAAGATCGAGCAGAGCGTACTCCACTCTTCCAAAGATTTGCAACGGCTTCAGGCTACGAATTCCATTGCTCGCCAATATAAGGCCATTCACAGCACAAAAACGATCGTTCTGATTGATTGCATTGCACAGATGCGTGAAAGTGGCTGCGTTGGAGAGACGAACGACCACATCCCTAAAATAGTGCTTGGAGGAAAAGTCCCTGAGATTGAGGATGTTGCTGATGCCACCATGTTGCTCTAAGCTGTCCATAAGACGGTTCACCACTTGCGAAATAAGCGTTTGCGGGCTGATCTGGTTCTGCTCAAAGGCGGCCACGTTGAATTGCACGGTAATTGGCACAGTAGCGCCACTTGGACCCCTCAGCTTTAGGCCTTGGGCAAAGAGTTTGTCCAACGCTGGCCTGCAGGCACGTGCCAGGAATGTATCAAATTTTGTGCCTGCCTTGAAATGGAAGAACATGGCTTAAGAAGCTATTAACGGAAAATTGCGCATTGGTTCGCTTACCTGGTAAGCCACGGGATAGAACTCCTCGCCGTCAACGGCGGCAAACAGGATATTCAGTATCGTCTCCGTGGAATCCTTCAAGTAGTTCAGCAGGCCATTGTGGTTTATCCTAAACTCGTGCCAATTACAGCTAATGCCACTTTGGTCATAGTTTTTGCATTGCGAATATATTTTTGGATCGTTATACTCCAAATTAATGGGTGCCACACGGCCGTCAAAGTAAATTATACGTCCTACAATAAAAGAATCTAATAATTATTTGTTTACCGACAATTTTACTTTAACATACTTTTACTCATTTTCACTTTCATTCACTTCGTGAACAATGCTGGAAAATGTAAAACAAAATGTACGCGCTAAAAAAGTGCTGTACATACATACATATGTATGTATGTACGTACGTGTATGTATGTACAAAGGAATTGCTGTGATCAGCTGCGCATATATGTATGTATCAACATATTACATGCATACATATAGATAGAGATGGGCATTTGCCGTTTATCTTTAACTTCTACATACATATGTATGTACATATGTATGTAAATCACGGCCCATCACGGAATTTATGGATTTAAAAATATTACTATACAGATGACTATTACTATCGAATCATTAACACAAATATGTTTATGGTAGAACTGTCATTAAAACTGTCAAAATCGACATTTAGCTAACATTTTTAATTGCCCTGTAACTTCGTGAAGAGTTCTTCAGAAATACATATATCATAAATAAAATAAAATCCTTCATTGACCAAAATTTCATATGGAAGCAGTCCGTTTCAAAACACAATCACGACCGAACATTATTTTCAGTATGCTGAAAAACTAATAATAATAATAAATAAATTCATAAATGGTTCCAATTATTAGGCATTGTTATTTGGTAGACAGGATAAATAGGGCATTTTTTTCAATTTGGTTTTTAATCGTGTTATTATCGTGTTTTCTTGTGCACGAAGTCGAAATATGAAACACGAACACGCATTTGCATATATTACAACAATGGGCCACAAACACATACACCTCTAATGTACACTACAAATGTACATCAAACACATCCGTTCTTCCAGGCTTATAGCAATTTTATTTATCTATACATTAATATACATATGTAGAGGTACGTACTTAAATGCCTAGGCAACAAAGTCTTTTCGAGATTAAAATTAATTATTCTTGGAACATTTCTTCTGCTTGCTATTGCCTTGCATTTTGCCTTGATAAAGTCCTGTATAGTAGCCAGACATGTACCACGACATAAGCATAGCGGCTAAATCCTGCCCCGCCTCGCCATCCATGCCATTGTTAGGATTGAACATCGGTGGCAGTGGCGGCGGTGGCGGCATACGCAGTGCAGCTGCGCTACGACCAGCAGCAAAGGCATCGGTTTCGGGCTTGCCTTTGCCCGATTTCCTGGCAGCCTTGGCACGCTGCTGCTGTGGTTCTTCCTCGTCCTTCTCAGCTTCTTCCTGTTTGGCATAGATAACCTGCTCACGGCGCGCCTTCTTGCCCCAGGACGGTAAGAGCTCGGCCAAAGGCACTTCCTGCTCATTCTCATAGCCCACATAGCGTAGCACACAGGAAGCTGTCTCTGCATTGATGGAAATCACTGTGCCCTCATAGTCCAGCCCATCCGTATATGTGGCACGTGCAAAGTCACCCACCTTGAACTCGACCACTTCAGGTGTGGTAGGTCCTGTAGCGGTATCGGCCAGTTCCTTGTTCACTTCGGCACGACGATTTGTGGAATCGGCAATACGGCGAGCCAAGTCCTCGCGTGCCAGTTTCACGGAGTCATCATATGCCTTAATAAGGAGGTTGTCGTCCCAGGCGTAATTGTTTTCCTCATCAGACATTGCGGTAGCCGTTGTTGCAATTGGTTGTTTAATTTTCGAAAACGCAAAAATCGTCAGTCGGCGTCAACTTGCGTACTAGCGTTGCCATACACTGTTTGCTTGTCAGCCGACGGCGTAGTTTGGACAGAATGGTCGGCCTGTGACTTGTTAATAGCAGATAAAGAAGAAGATCAAAAGTAAAAATCATTCTCGGTCACAAAGTTTTCGTTTACATAGTTTCTTATTCCAAATAAAAAATGGCTTCAGTGGAGGCGCTGTACAAGGAGCTCACCGTCGAGTGGTCAAAACGTCCACCAAACACCAATAAGTGCGGCCAGTTGTTGGATCAACTAAAGGTGGCCCTGGTAAAGTTGGCGTTTCTGCCTACAGACGGCAATGATGCCCAAAACTCGAAAAAACAATTGTTGCTGGCGCGGAACGTGCTGGAAATAGCTGTGGAGTACAGCGTTATAAGTAAAGATCTGCTCGCCTTCGAGCGCTACATGTCGCAGCTGAAGTGCTATTACTATGACTATGCCAAGATTATTGGCGAGTCGGAGAACAAATACAAGTTACTGGGCCTTAATCTGCTATACTTGCTGTCTGGTAATCGTGTGTCTGACTTCCACACTGAACTGGAGCTGCTGTCAGTGGATATTATACAGCATAACCAGTATATACGACCGATTCTAGCACTCGAGCAGTACATCATGGAGGGCCGGTACAATAAAATTTTCCAGGCGAAGTCGTCGATGCCAGCCGACGTATACAATTATTTCATGGACCGGCTTGTGCAGACAGTTCGCGACGAGATTGGGGCCTGCATAGAGATGTCCTACGAGAAAATCTCAGCCACGGAGGCCGCTAAACGCTTGAACCTGCGCGTACCCAACGAAATCAAGGCGTTCGGTGAGTCCCGCAACTGGAAATTAGTGGATGATGGTAATTACAGCTTCACGGATAGAAGCATAAAGCCCAAAGAGCTACTACCTTCCGTGGAGCTAGCCGAGCAGGTGCTTAGCTACGCACGCGATTTGGAAATGATAGTTTAAGACTCTACGCAGCCAATGTCATCGGCAATATACATATTAAAGTATAATAAATATAAATGAAATAAATCGTTTTTATAAGTTTTATGTCAGCATTAATTGCATTTTGTTGAAGTAAAAGAGATTCCTACAAGAAATTTACAATCTATGTACATACATATAGGTGTTATATTTGTAATAGACTTGATCAAAAAGTTCTGTTCATACCAAGTTCAGTGTGGCTACATATCCAAAAACCATATCATTTCAAATAATAATTAATATTTTATCACCCTTTCTGTGTGAGATTGCATTTGACAATGCACTTACTATCTAGATTAGTGAGACATACCATTAATTTTTTCTATTTCAAATTGACTGACAAAAGATGCATTTCGATTTATTATTATGGTGAATTGAAAGACCAAGGCTGCCAGACTGATTAAACTTATAATTTTAGTATTCATGTCAGTTTTCAGTGTGCCCGTGCAATTGTTAGCGACCGAACGAGCAGAGCAGCGGAGTAGATAAATTTTCGCTCGCCTGCGAATATTTGTAGTGAATTTGAGCAAGAAACGCTAATAAGTTAAAAAGTAAATACAATGGCCTGCAACGCAAGCAAGACTCCACTCTTGCGCGCTATCGCTGTAAGTTGACTGGGTTCCTAAACTACCTTATCCAAGTGCAACTTAACCCCAAAGCCTGAAAAGCAGAAAAGTCTTTAGTGGGGACTCGTGTTACGTAAAACTTGAATTGTTAAATTTTAAGCAAATGTGTTGGGAAATCAATTTAATTATTGTTTTTCTTTAGAAACGCGGATATGCCGCTAATGTGTGCCCCCGCCCAGTTGGCGACACCTCGGCCATCAATGTGAACGTGCTCGAGAACAAATTGGTGGTGGCGACAGCTGATGCCACAGTCCCCGTATCGCGCGTCTCCATTGTATTGCGGTAAGCATAGATGCAGCGTTACGGCAGAACTCGCCACTAATCTTCTCGTGCAGCGCTGGTTCCCGCAACGAGTCCTACGACACCCAGGGTGCTTCTCATCTGTTGCGCCTTGCCGGGACCTTAAGCACGCAAAACTCCACGGCTTTTGCCATTGCCCGTCATATTCAGCAGGTGGGCGGCACCTTGACCACCTGGGGTGATCGCGAGCTTGTCGGCTATACCGTCGAGACCACATCTGACAATGTTGAGACCGGTCTGCGATACCTGCAGGATCTTGTGCGTCCCGCTTTCAAGCCCTGGGAGTTGACAGACAATGCCAAGACGCTGTTAAATCAGCTGAATGCCGTCACCACAGAGGTGTGCACAAGTGACAATCTTAAATGTTGGCAACAATAACCCTTACTTGAAATATATTTGCAGCAACGTGCCATTGAGCTGGCACACAAGGCTGCCTTCCGCACCGGTCTGGGCAACTCCATCTACATCCCAAGGTTCCAATTGGGCAGGCTTTCCACAGAATCCCTGTTGCACTATGTTGCCAGCACTTTTAATGCCGGCAATGCTGCTGTCGTCGGTGTGGGTATTGACAACAACACTTTGTCCGGTTTTGCTCAGACCCTGGACTTCCCCGGCAAGGGAGGTAGCGGTAAGAGCGGTGCACCCAACTACTATGGTGGGGATGCACGCAAGGACACTGCCGGTAACCGTGCCACTGTTGCCGTCGTTGGCCAGGGTGGCGCTGCTTTGAACCACAAAGAGGCTTTGACTTTTGCCATTCTGCAGCAGGCTGTGGGCGCTGGAGCGTCCACCGCGCACGGTAAGCCAGGCGGCATATTTGGGGAAGCTGTGTCTTGTGCCGGTGACGCACCAGTGTCCTTAAAGGCTATCAATGCCAGCTACGCGGACGCCGGTTTATTTGGGTTCGTTGCTTCTGCCGGCGCCAGTGATATTGGCAAGGCTGTGGACTTCCTGGTGCGCGCCCTCAAATCGGGCTCTGTCTCCGAGAAGGATGTGTCACGTGGCAAGGCTCTGCTGAAGGCACGCATTATTGGCAAGTACGCTTCGGATGGTGGTCTGATCAAGGAGATCGGCCGCCAAGCTGCCCTCAGCCGAACTGTGCTCGATGCGGACACCATTGTCGCTGCCATCGATGGTATTACGCAACAACAAGTGCAAGAAGTAAGTCCATAAATTTTCAGTTGTTAGTTTCCAGTTGATAACCGTTTCCTTTGCAGGCTGCCAAGAAGGTTGCAGGCTCGAAGCTTTCCGTGGGCGCCATAGGTAACCTGGCGAATGTGCCCTACGCTTCGGACTTGGCTTAAGTAAATAAAACGATAAACTGTAAATGTAAATTAAATCGCGTGCGTCTTAACTAACGAAATAAACTTGTTGGAAAACATACAATACCATAATACTATTTATTGGTCGTTTAAAAATATGTAATTGTGTATAATTTTGATTTGATCTGGGCCAGAAAAACATCTTTGGAAAATGCACACATATATTTATATGGAATACAGTGCTTACGTATTTAACAAAACACTCGAACGCTCTCCGGGTTTCATTTAAATTAACACTACCACGAGTATGGCCAAAAACAATGCGATTATTACAATCCAATAGCCACAAGTGCCGTCTCTTCGATTCACCTGAGACAAGGATCGCGTCTCCACCTGCACGCGTGTGTCCACACGATCCATTGAATTGGCTAGATTGTCCAAAATGGCTGCAGAACAGATCCAGTGTGGCAGTCATTATAATATATATACAAAGCTATACTCACTATTCTGATCCTCAACCTCGTTGCCAAGTCGTGTGGCTATCTCGCGTTGTCGCGATATGGTAGCCGACAAGACTTCCAGGCTGTTATCCTGTTGCTTCATCATTTCCGCCTGCCGCTGTTTTAGCGTCTTTACATCAGTCGGTATATCCGCGCTGGAGGATGGTCCTTCATTATCCCAAAACGAGCCAGCTGCATTGGAAGTACCTTTAAACTTTTCGACAGCTTCTTGCAACTGTGAGGAAAGCTTGGCTAATACCCTGCGTCGTCGTTCCAATTCATCTGGTGTGCTCGTCTCCCACGTGATAGCATTGTCCTGCACCACTTGCAAGTGCGCCACATCCTTGCGCAATTGATCCAGGCCCGAGTGTATGCTGAGAGAGAGCTGCTTGTAGGCTGGCAGGGTGGGCTCGCGGATTTGCTGGCGATTATGGAGCTGAGTCCGCACTTGGTGCAGCATTCGTTCACAGCCCTCATATTCAATCTCAAATGAATCATGATCTACCAACGCCATTTATTACGGGTATCTGTTTAAATGAAAACAACAAAAAATCTACGCCTCAAGACGAAGACAAACAGCAACAAAGAGCAACAGCTGTGCAACGGCAAGTGCTGGTAAATACTCAATAATACAACAGCTGTGGTGTATAAGAGCAAGTATAAGTATAGGTAACAGAAGTAGTGCATATACGCAGTTCGCACTAATCACTTGCACACATATGTTTATACTTATAATCTCATTCTTATAACATACTCTATCGATGTCGACCGATATGATGCGATATCAATTTCGATTTCGATTTCACTTCGCGTAACAACGTCTCTTTGCCGCCGTAAAGACGTCGCGTGTGTGTGCAGTAATAATAAATATAAAAATTTTTGTAATTCTTATATGAAAATTTTCGTAGAATATCAACGACTCGCGATTTAGAGCGTGCGCACACAACAAATTTTATTTATTTGGTTCGTTCGGCAAGCGAAACTAGGTGCAATTGTTACGTCACACGCTCTAAGAAAATTTCGTTGCGGAAAAGCGTATGATTTTCAAGTAGCTGCAGCAGCAACAACAACGACGACGGCATTTCCTTTTTATAGCATCGCATTGTATAGTGTACGTGTGAGCGAAATTCGCCTACTTTGTGTGTAAAATTGCTTAAAACGAAAATAAAAATAATACACAAGAGCAGTTGGCGTTTTATTTTGTTGTCAGTAACGGGGATTTTTGAAAGGCTTGTATTCATTTATAATTGTGATTCGTAGGAAGTAAGATCTCTAGTGCAGAAATATTTATTATAAAATATAGTAATAGTATAATTTCTAAATCGGAACACAACAATAATATACAACCAACCAATCCACCACATAAAACTAAGTACGCAAAACGCAAACATTTTAGAAAATATATTCAAAAATATATTTAAAAGACGCGCGTGTGTGTGAGTTCAAATATAACTAACAGAAGAAGAACATCAGCCCTTCAAGAGCTGCAACAATAACAACGACATCGTAGACGCAACGGCTAAAGGGTAAGCGGAAACCCGACTCATATATTTTACATTTTTGTAGCAATTGGAATGAAAAATAGAATTGTCAGTTTGGGAGAAAAATGGAAAAAGGCAGTAAGTGGCGAAAATTCTTTGCCTGCAACCCGTTTGTATACATGTGTGCGTGTGCTAGTGTATGAGTGTATGTATGTATGTATGTAAACATGCAACGGAAAACGTGTATTCGTAAGAAAAACCAGAAAATCGAAACCGGGAATTGGGTCACTGTGTCAAACGCGCGCGCGACTCTCGCACGTTGCCAGAGCTTTAGTTAGCTTGTCAGCTTGGCTCTAACTTTGGCTCTGACTCTGGCTTTGCTCCCGCTCACACACACACATTTACACATACATATGTATATACAAATACAGGTGCAGCAGACATTGAGGCTGAAAAACGTGTATGGCGGCTGGTTGGCTATTTTCTAGTTGGCGGCTATTTGATAGCAGCTTTTTTGTTCCGTTTATCTGTTCGCCAGATTCTAGTCGTTGGCACTTGACACTCTAGCCTGTTTCGCCGCCGGAATCGCCAGAATGCTGCTTACAGCATCCGAATTAGCTGCCTACGTTACCATGCGTGTTTATATGTTTACGTGTGTGCTGCTGTCTAATTGCCACTCGCGGGGAGTTTTTCTTTTAGTTCGTGCTTGCTTGCGCTCTCTCCCTCTCTTTTTCTCGCTCGCTTGATTTTCGGCCACTCGCTCCATTTGATCTTGCTGTCGGCTCTGCTGTTTTGGCGACGACAGCGCTGCCGGCTGCAAGACGACGCTCTTACCTTGAGCTCGCCTCCAAGCGGGTCTGCTGCACTTGTCGGCACAGATCTTGTGCCTCTCTCACACGCCTATACTACAAGTATGCCTACAGTGCCGGTCAGTTGATTAGATATTTTCAAATTATTTAAGATGGATCAAATGTGATTATTAGCGTTGATCGCTAGAGTTAAAATTTTGGCACAAATGTTTTGTAGATCGTCTTTGTCCTCTGCAAAAATTATGATTATGAAGAGGGAATCCAGAAAAATTTAGTAGTTGATGTACTGTGTGGGCCAATATCATGTCTCTATGCTAGCTTTTAGAGGATACATTATAAATACTGTAAATATTAAGTGGTTAACGATTGAAAGACGATTACTTACCAAGTTTGGTGTCCCGTGCTCATAGGGGTTAAAAGCCCTCAATGTTTATGGCAATATTAATTCGTCTCGTTATGCTCGTTATGATTACATGGTTTACAATTATAAGCTTTCATTTATCGAGTACAGTATAGTAAATTAGGGAATTTTGCGTTTCGGGCGCTAGCTACCTATTAAAAAATACCAAAATAAAAATATGGCATGCAGTTAGTTTTCGATCTACTCTTGTCTTATATCAATAAAAAATAATTGCTCTGTTTTTAATTTTATGAGCGGCATTGTAAGCATGTCTGCCTCTCAGTGCGTGCTGTCTGTTTTCTTATTTGATTTTAAACTTCTAAAATGGAGCCAACACCTTTCGAAATAACCGTCTAACCAGACGAGCAGCCGGTCAACCAACAAACTAACCGCTAGCCGCTTTTGATGTTTGCTAATAAAATTATTACGACTCGGCCAAGCGGCGACGACGACTATAGAGACGACTAATGTTAATGCGTTTTAAGGTCACTTCTTTGGCGTTTGCTTCTGAGCAGCTGAGCGACTGACCCAATAAAACTCTTTCACATAATAAATGCTGGCGTTCGCTTACATTTTCTCGGTCCATTTAACACGACATAGCCGCTAGCTCTGTGGTGTAGTGCCTTCCCCACCCCCGTACATTTTCCCTCCGGGCGGGCCGCTTTGGCGATTTCCACGCGATTTATGATTTATTTCAAAATTATTTATTATACAATCAAGCGAAACGTAAAAATAAACAAACAACGGCACACCATGTAAATAAATGAAGAGCAGCGCCAGAAGCAGAGGAAGCAGAGAGTGTTTGAGGAGCACATGGGAATGCCAGAGAGCCATGTCGGCGCCATTTTGTTGTCAGCTGTGCTCGAACAGGATAACAAAATAATCACAATAAAAACAACTCCAAAACGGAAGATGCTCACACTTCAGGCGTCGCTTTCTGTGTATATTATAGGTTGCTGGTTTACTAGTTAACTGGGGCTGTCGCTTCCTGTTGGCCACCCACCCACACACCCCACCACATACACATACACACACACACACACACACACAAACACAAACACAAGCACGCGTGTCTGTTGGGCTCTGACACTGACAGTGAGCATGGCTAGTTGTCGTCGCCGACGTCGTCGCCGGCGTCGTCGGCTGAATAAGAGCAATAAATTATGAATGTGAAGAGAGTAGTCACAAGAGCAGAGAAACAGCAGCCGCTGCTTCTGTCGTCGTCGTAGTTGTTGGGGGTTGTTGTCGTCGTCTATGATTTTTGCACTTAAGAGCAGCAACAAAAAGTGGCTTTGATTTTGTTGTACTGCTGCTGCTGCTGCTGCTGCTGCTGCTGCTGCTGTTACTGATATTGTTGTTGTTGGTGGGTACTGTAGTGGGTATTTTTGTTGGAGGCGCCCCCATTTGCATATGCCAGTCAGGCGGCAGGCAGGCAGGCCACAGCTAGCTGCTGCTCTCCCAATTTGTAGTCGAGCTGTTGCCATGTTGTTGTTGTCGTTGCTATACGTACATAGTTGCCCACCTACATCCAATAGGATACTTTTGCCGAATCGGGTTCGGGCGTGCGTGTGTGTGTGCGCGTGTATATGAGCATGAGCACGGAAAAAGTGCTAACCTATATAATTTTTTTACATTTTGCTTCTAATATGGCACACAATTCGCTTCCCCCATCCCACCCCAACAATAATAACAACAACAGCATCGTCATCATCATTGACGATGGCAATGGCGGCAACGCTTTGTCAGGCGCTCGCCCCGCTGGCAGTTGAAGGTTCTTTTTTATAATTTAAAAACTTTTTTTAGACGAGACGTGCACACGATGGATGTGTTGAGTATTCTGACTTGCCGAAAGCTGTGGCATCAACGCAACGGAGGAGGAGCTTTTGTTGTTGTTGTTATTAGTGCCATTGCTGCTGCTTTGAATTTAATGTTAAGTATACGCATCAGTGAACTCAATTTAATTATCATGATTGTTTTCCTCGCTGTTTTCTGTCCGTATATGTGTGTATGTGTGTGTCTGCTCAAATTTAAATTGTTCAAACTTCACAAACACTCTTAAACACACACACACAGACACACACGTCCGTTAGTTTTGTGTTTTTGAGTTGCCATTCATTGTCAGCCACTTGCGTTCTCTAGCTAGAGATTTTCATCGAACGCTTTTCACTTATGTAATGCGAGCGTAATAAAAACAAAAATAAAAGCTTTACAAAACCCAAATCAAGTTGATAAAGAAAAAACAAAATACAACAAAAAGCATTTGGCCATAATTACGCTGGTGCCCTTCATCCATTTTTATCAGCAGTTAATTTATGCGCCCATGTCAACAACACAGGCATATACATACATACATACCTACATTTGAATGTACGTATTTAACACTGTTTGAAGTGCAACGTACCGAAAAGGGAAACTAAAATACGGCGGAACGGCCAGTGTTTTCATTTTTTACATGATAAGTACATATACGAATTTACATATACATAGTATAGAACCTATGTGTGGACTTATGTGCATACATATAGTACATAGGTAGCAGCAAAAGCCAAAAGACAATTAAGTTGCCATGGCTCATTGCACAATGAGCAAAGAATCAAACCAAGAACAAAAATAAAAACAACAACAGCAAACATGCCCAATACATCCAGCACACATAACTGTGTTTGCTCGACCAGGCATATCGCACGGGACGGCAGCGGTTGCGTTTCGGCGTCAACGGTAGCGTCAACGCAGCACAGCGCATTGGCAACCCTAATCGCTGCCGTCTATGCGCCTGTCTCTGTGGGTGTGGGTGTGTGTGTGTGTGTGTGTGTGGGAGAGTCGTAGTCAGCATCGTTGTTGTTACTGCCGCTGCTGCTTAATAAATAGGCCAAATATGTAATATCGCTAAAATGTGTTTATTGTAATCTTTTTCACACATACATACATACATGCTTGCACACGCACACACACAAATGCATACGGTATCTGTGGGAGCCCTCGTCGCAGCGCAGCGCAGCGCTACTCTCTGCTAACGTGTTCTTACAAAGAGAGCGCGCAGTCGGTGATAAAAAGAGAACGAGTGTACGAGTAGAAACGAACGATGCCGACGTCGGCATCTGTCGCTATTAGCGTTAGCGTCGCTGCTGTTGGCCCCTTTGTGGGGGCCAGTCAGTGGAGCATTTGGTTGAGTCGTTGTTCTACCGTTGTCGTGATTGCAACACTTCTGCCACATACACCATAATAGCAACAACAACGAAATTAAAGCGCAAGAGTCGCGCGTCGGTCGTTCGTTCGTTAGTTAGTTGGTTCGTTTGCCTGAAAATTTTCACGTTTTTTGTTAAATTCTACGCTAGACGTTCACGTCTCCACAGCAGCAGCAACAGCAACAACCACAAACATTTCAATGTGATGCCCAATTCTGTGATTGTGTGTGCGTGTGTTGTGTGCTAGTTTTACGTTTATTTTTCAGCTGGTGCACCAGCAGCAACAGCGAGAACAAGAACAGCAGGCAAAACACAGTTACCACATAATCGAGCCGATTCGAGTCGAGCTGAGTCGCAACCAGTCGCGCATTTAAAAATATAAACTATGCCCGCTTTTCGCCAAAAAAGACATAAAAAATAAAAATACACACAGACAACTTTTTAAAGTGTTGGCCCGGCCAAATGGCAGCCAAAAGTCAACGACAGAAGACAACAAAAACAACAAAAAGAAAATACGAGTATATAGTGAGGACAGGCGACAACGAGCACAGGCGAGAACCAAATCGGCATAATAAAAATAAAAATTCTGTGTTTATGTGGCATGTATGTATGTATGTACATATATACATAAGTGTGAGTGTGTATGAACGT